AAAAACCTTCTATTCAAACAATTCTTCAAAGCCACCTGGACATCTGGACAGATACTGCATTTCTGGTGACCAGGAACAGCAATAAAGATTTAATAAGGACAAATCCTTTGGGAACGTTTGGGAACATACTTACTCCCACAGAGATACCTATAGCATGCCCCTTGGAAGCAGAATGCAAATTACAATGGTTTGTTCCTCTTAAGCTCTTTTGTTAGTGTTACTACCAATGAGTTTTCTTGGGGCAGAAATTTCCTGTTATTTCTGTATCCCCAATACTTAACATAGCTGGGCACAGTAGAAAAATATTTTACTGGCCAAAACACCTTGCAAGACCCAACTCTTCTCCTCTTGCCAATGCCCCAACATACTGACCTTTTCTCATTTGCAAGGAATCCCTGCATTCATTCTCTCAGACTCTTCAACAGAGCTTTTTAACTGCTAAGAGTCCTTCTGCATCCCATGCACTGTACACTGAACTGTTTCCCCAACCAGGACTCTGTGTGTGTGTGTGTGTGTGTGTGTGTGTGAGAGAGAGAGAGAGAGAGAGAGAGAGAGAGAGAGAGATTGATTTTGTCTTGAACTCAACCTCACACATGCTAGGCAAGTGCTGTAGTGCTAAACTACTAAACTACATCCCAGCACATACACACCCGTATGCTTTTCTTGAGACAGTCTCACTAAATTGCTCAGGTTAGCCTTGACCTTGTTCTTCCAGCCCCAGCCTCAGCCTCACAAGTAGCTGGGTTTGTAGACATGTGTCACCACATCATGCCTGGTAGACAGGCCTTCTACTCAGTTCTCAATTTTTCCTTCCTCTGGACAAGAGAAGCAAGGGCTCTATAACCTCTGTCTTGAGGTCTTCTGTTAGATTATCTCAGAAAGCAGAGGGTTTTGTTTTGTTTTGTAATGCTGAGGATTCAACTCAATGCCTCATGCATAGTAGACAAGTGCTTTACAGCTGAACTATTCCTAGCCCTGTTAAATGATTTCAAACTCATGTGTGGAGGATGATGGGTACTGGGGGATTGAAACCAGATCCTTTGAACTAAAACATCCCTATTCCTTTTTATTTTTCATTTTAAGATAAAGTCTCATTGGGGATGATGGTGCATACCTCTAAACCTAGCACTCAGGAGGTAGAGGCAGATTGGAAGCCAACCTGGGCTACATAGTGAGTTCAAGGCCAGCCTGAACTACATATAGAGATGTCTCAAAAACAAAACAAAATAAAAAACTAATAAATTGACAGTGGGTGGTTATTGTGAGCTATAGCTATATTTTTACTGTATACAGCCTAAATAGAAACTTTCTGACCTGTTCTGGAGGATTCTAAAGAAAGTACTGCCATCACAGAGTTGTCCTAGAGCTTATGCAAATAACATAAGGGAAATGGTGCTAGAATTACTGAGTTGAATGTTTTTGTGAAGAGTGAAGCAACCCTCAGTTTACAAAAGCGGTATTCCCACCAGTTATTGGGCAATATATGAAGTTTACAGTAGGTTTTCTAGTTTTAAAATTTGGACAAATTGGGTATGGTGTCTCATAGTCCCAGCACCCTGGGAGACTGAGGCAGGAGGATCATCAGTTGGAGACCAGCCTGAGAAACATAGGCCCTGTCTCAAAAAAAAAAAAAAAAGAAAGAAAAGAAAAGAAAATTGGACACAACCTGAAATTTTCTAGGGTAGAATTTTATCTGCCAAAGAAAGGAAATGTAGTATAGTATAATGGACTACTGGTTTAAGGGTAAGAAGATAGCTGTCCCTATGATTTCATCTACTTAGTGTAAAGGCGGTAAAATCCAACTACTTGTCTGATTTTCAGCCTTTATTAGATGCCTGTAATAATGTTCATCCTAGCCAGGTGTGGGGCACACCTGTAATCCCAGCACTTCGGGACACTGAGGCAGGAGGATGATAATTTCAAGCCCACACTAGGCAACCTAGTGGGTTGGCAAGACCCTACCTCAAAATAAAAATAAGGAGACTGAGTAAATGCCTGCCATCCCAGCACCAAGGAAGCAGAGTCAGGAGGATCACTGCAAGTTTGAGGCCAGCCTCTGCTACATAGTCTGGATAGATAGATAGATAGATAGATAGATAGATAGATAGATAAATAGATAAATGGCTGGGGATATAGCTCAGTGTGAAGGCCTATGTTAAATACACAGTACCATAAAAAATAATAATACCCATCATGGCTACCTCACAAGTTTATTTGTTCAACTGATATTTATTGACAGGTTTAAAAGTGATGTGGAAATTTGAAAAACGTAAAAATTCAAGATAGAACTTCAAAGATTCAGAGCAAAAGAAACTTCATTTATTTATTTATTTACATTTTGTGTTTTTGATTTTTTTTTGGTTCTTTTTTTTGTTTTTTCTGGTACTGGGAATCGAACTCATGACCTTGGGCTTGCCAGGCAGGCGTTGTCCCGCTGAGCTAAATCCCCAGCCCCCCATTTTGTCTTTTTGAGACAGGGTCTCACTATGCAGTTCAGGCTGGCCTTGAGCTCACTTTGTAGCCCAGGCTGGTCTCGAACTTGCAACTATTCCCAGCCCTTTATTTTTTTAAATTTTGAAACAGGATCTTATTAATTGTTCAGTTGCTCAATTTGGGTTCGAATTTGAGATCTTCCTGTCTCAGCTGCACAGAATGCTACAATTACAAATGTGCATCACCAATCCCAGCTTCTGTATTATTCCTATGGCATATATTGTTTTACATCTTATGGTGTGAATATACTATTATTGTTTTGTTTTTATCTTTTTTTTTTTTTTTTTTTCTGGTACCAAGAATCGAACTCACAGCCTTGTGCTTGCCAGGCAGGCGCTGTGCCACTGAGCTAAATCCCCAGCCCCCGGTTTTTATCTTTTTGATACAGGGTTTCACTATGCATTTTAGGCTGGCCTTGAACTCACTTTGTAGCTGAGGCTGGCCTCGAACTCACAGCAATCCTCCTGCCTCAGCCTCCTGAGTGCTGGGATTACAGGCGTGAGCCACCACGGCCTGGCACGAATATACTGTTGATATCCTACTTGAAGGCCTGTTTAAGTGGATGCTATTACACCACAAAAGACAGCCTAGAAGTCTCACTTTTTTTACCCCCCAGTGCTTAGGATCTAACCAAGATCCTGACACAAGTGCTCTACCATTGAGCTATATCCCTAATCAATCCCTCACAGATAAATATATTTTTGAGACAGGGTCTCCTTATGTAGTTTAGGCTGGACATTTCCTGTAGCCCAGGCTGGCCTCAGACTTGTAGCAATCCTCCTACTTCAGCCTCCAGTGTGCTGAGATTACAAGTGTGCACCACCAACACTGGCCCCCTCACAAATAAACTTTTCAGAAAAGAATGAAAAAGCTTGGAGTGGCCATGGTGGCCCACACTGTAATCCTAGCACCGAGGGAGGCTGAGATAAGGATTGCAAGTGCAGATCGCACCTTATGAAGAAAACTTACTAAGACCCTGTCTCAAAATTTAAAAAATAAAATAAATAGGGCTGGGGGGTGTAGTTAAGTGGTAGAATGCCCTTGGGTTCAATTCCCCAGTATCATAGAAATAAATAAATAAATATTAATCTTGGTCAAATTGCTTTTCTGTCCCTTTGCTTTCTTATTTACAGAATCCTATTTCAGAGAGCTGTGAAGATTGAATGGGTTCATTTGGTGGTTTTTTGTTTTGTCATTATGCAATCCAGGCTGGCCTTGAACCCACTACGGAGCCCAGCTGGTTGTAGAACCTGTGCTCCTCCTGCCTCAGCCTCTGGAGCTTTGGGATTACAGGCATCCATCAGGTGCAATGGCTTAATTTGTGTGAAGGAGTTTTGTGACACAGGCCTATAGTCCTAGCACCCAGGAGGCTGAGATAGGAGGACCCCTGGGAGTTCAAGGCCAGCCTGGGCTACATATTGAGACCCTGTCTCAAAAACAAAACAAAACAAAACAAAAAGAATGAAAAGAAAGAAGAATGAGAGGGTAGTTTAAAATACTATTCTTATTCATAATTATTTTTTGTTTTGTTTTGTTTTTTCCGGTACCGGGAATGGAACTCACGACCTTGCGCTTGCCAGGCAGGCAATCTGCCGCTGAGCTAAGTCCCCAGCCCCTTATAATTATCTTTTGCATGAAGATAAAAGGCTAAATTACCAGTAAGAGCCATGGGGCCATCTCAAAGCGAAAGGCACTTTCAGGTCCATAGATCTGAAGAGTGGAGGTAGTAACTCAAAACGGAAGAACTAGTGCTGTAGTCTCAGACATGAGTTTGACTCTTAGCTGAGCAACTGGTGGGATTATAGCTTTGTTACCATAAATTGTTCATCTCTGCGTCTGGGCTTCCTTATCTGTAAAATAGGCCATGAGGCTGTGCTGTCCTGTTGGGCAGCTATGAGGATTAGAGATAACGTATGCGATATGCCTGGCACGAAGTCTACACCCTAAAAAGCAGGAGCATTGTTAAGACACTAAAGGACCTTAGGTTGCAATATTCCTACATTCACCCTTTGCCCTTTAAAAAATATCCTTACCCTACTACTTTAAAAGACTTCTTATATGAGGTGTGCTAAAATGCGTTTGCACTGGAACCTGGGAGGTGGGAATGTTTGTTCAATCAGTTTAGGAAGGTTTAGGGGTTTTTTATTGTTCGTTTGTTTGGTCTTTTTGAGACAGGGTCTGGCTATGCAGTTCAGGCTGGCCCTGAGCTCTTTGTAGCCCAGGCTGGTCTCGAAATCCCAACGATCCTCCTGCCTCAGCCTTCCGAGTGCTGGGATTACAGGCGTGCGCCATCACGCTCGGCTAGATTTAGGTTTAAGAAACTTTAAAAAAATTTTTGGTAAGCTCCATCTCAAAAAACCTTTCCCCAGCTGGACAACCGAGAGGCTTATCGCGAGAGTTTGGCGGAGCGCGTTTCTTGGGCCTGTCCGGTTCTCGCGTTGTTTGATCCAATAGTAGGGATAGGCGAAAGGGGAGCTCGAAGTATCGCGAGATTTGCGAGACTCTCGCGATGTTTTTGCGTTTGCCCCTCCCCCCTCCTTGAAGTGCCGTTTCGGTTTAATCTAGTGTGACTGAGTGTGAGGGAGCGAGTGTGAGTGTGTGTGTGTGTGAGGTATTGAGGTGAGGCAGAGACTAGAAAAGGGGGCTCCCTCAGGAGCGAGGGACAAAGGGGGCGTGAGTCACCTCAGCCGCGGGACCCCGGCGACAGGAAGCTGCTCTGAAGCGGGCCACCGGGAAGGGGAAGGGCCCTCGCAGTGCTCACAGGGCCCCAGAGCCGGAGTCGGCCCCGCAGGCTTTCTACTTCCTCGAGCTCCCGGCAGCCGGGCCTGAGGAGAGTGGCTCGGCGGGGCGCGGGGAAGGACGAGCTCTCGCAGGTCCGCCGCGAGGAACTCCAGTCTCCTTCGCCCCGTCTCCCCGCGCCTCATGTAGGAGGGCGCCGAGGCGGCGGGAGGGGGAGGAGCCCGGCCGCGCGTCCCTTCCCTCCCAGCCCCTGCGAGGGGCGCTCGGGGGGCGTGCAGTTGGGCCGGGGACGGGAGGGGCGGCTTCCTGCGGCGCCGGGGAACTTCTCCCCGTCTTCGGGCCGGGGCGAAGGTAATGCCCAATTCCGAGAGACATGGGGGCAAGAAGGACGCGAGTGGAGGAGCTTCTGGAACTTCGCAGCCGTCATCGGGAGGTGGCAGCGCGAACAGCAGAGAGCGTCACCGCTTGGTGTCGAAGCACAAGCGGCACAAGTCCAAGCACTCCAAAGACATGGGCTTGGTGACCCCAGAAGCAGCACCCTTGGGCACAGTTATCAAACCTTTGGTGGAGTACGATGACATCAGCTCTGATTCAGACACCTTCTCTGACGACATGGCCTTCAAATTAGACAGGAGGGAGAACGAAGACCGTCGTGGGACGGATCGGAGCGACCGCCTGCACAGACATCGTCACCACCAGCACAGACGTTCCCGGGACTTGCTAAAAACAAAACAGACCGAGAAAGAAAAGAACCAGGAAGTCTCCAGCAAGTCGGGGTCGATGAAGGACCGGACCTCAGGAAGTTCCAAGCGTTCAAATGAGGAGAATGATGACTATGGGAAGGCGCAGCTGTCCAAAAGCAGCAGCAAGGAATCGAGGTCGTCCAAGCTCCATAAGGAGAAGACCCGGAAGGAACGCGAGCTGAAGTCTGGACACAAGGACCGGGGTAAAAGTCATCGGAAAAGGGAAACACCCAAAAGTTACAAAACGGTGGACAGCCCCAAACGGAGGTCCCGGAGCCCCCACAGGAAATGGTCTGACAGCTCCAAACAAGATGACAGCCCCTCCGGCGCCTCTTACGGCCAAGATTATGACCTTAGTCCCCCGAGATCTCACACCTCTAGCAATTACGACTCCTACAAGAAGAGTCCTGGAAGTACCTCAAGAAGGCAGTCGATCAGCCCACCTTACAAGGAGCCTTCTGCCTACCAGTCCAGCACCCGGTCGCCCAGTCCTTACAGTAGGCGACAGAGGTCTGTGAGCCCCTATAGTCGGAGACGGTCGTCCAGCTATGAAAGGAGCGGCTCTTACAGCGGGAGATCACCCAGTCCCTATGGTCGAAGACGATCCAGCAGCCCTTTCCTGAGCAAGCGGTCTCTGAGTCGGAGCCCCCTCCCCAGGTAAGCTGTCTTCTAGGGTGGGTTGTGAGGGACTGGCAGCTGTGATAACATTTTGTTTAAGTCTCCAGTGTGCATCATTGACTAGGATACTTTGCTGCTGCCTAGTCATTCAAGTAGGTGAATCTGGTCTTTGCTTAACCCAGAATTGGAGAAGTACAGATTTCATTTGCTTCCAACTGCTAAAGGTAGGTAACTACTTTCAGAAATAGCTTCGGTTGTAAGCTTCGGTGTGGGAAAAAACATGCTTCTGCCCAGTTAGTGCATGGTGTTGCTGTAGTACCCCCACAGCTTCTCTAGCTATATCTGGGTTTATTTTTTTTATTTTATTTTTTTTTACTTTTTAAAATTTTTTTTTGTCTTTTTGGGACAGGGTCTCACCATGCAGTTCAGGCTAGCTCACTTTGTAGCCCAGGCTGGTCTCGAACTTGCAACGATCCTCCTGCCTCAGCTTTCCCAGTGCTGGGATTACAGGCCGATGCCCGGCTCCGCTATTTCTGTTCTTTTGGTTTACATTTTTGCAAATCATCTTGGTATTAGTGCTTAATTGGAGACTTGAGAAATTCCTAATTTTCATTTGTAGTATTATCCTGAATACCTTGCCTAGGTCATCCTACCATTTGTGCTGTCTGCTGAGTGCCCAAAGCTTTAAGTGTATTCATTGCTTAATTAACACTCTTAAAACGGAAAAAAGGGTCTTACAACAGACATTTGAGTGGAAACAGCTGATCAGGCAGTCTTATTATTATTATTATTTTTTTGTCTTTTTGAGACAGGGTCTCACTATGCAGTTCAGGCTGGCCTTGAGCTCACTTTGTAGCCCAGGCTGGCCTCGAATTCCCAGCAATCCTCCTGCCTCAGCCTCCCAAGTGCTGGGATTACAAGCGTGCACCACCACACCCAACTAGGCAGTCTAATTTTTGACAGTAGAGTGTAGAAGAAATGTGTTCCAAGGACAGTTTGTTTTTTTGTAGGGAATTTTTTTTTTCTTTTCTTTTTTATTTGTCTTTTTGAGGCAGGGTCTCGCTATGCAGTTCAGGCTGGCCTTCAGCTCGCTTTGTATTCCAGGCTAGTCTCAACCTCACGACAATCCTCCTGCCTCAGCCTCCCAAGTGCTACGATTACAGGCGTGTGCCACCACACCTGGCTCTATTTTTTTTCTAGAAAATCAAAAACTAGAAATCAAACTCAGGACCTTGTGCTTGCCAGGCAGTCGCTGTGCCACTGAACTATATCCGTATGGTACCTCTATTGACATACCTTGTGAGCACTGGCAAGTTTCAGAATTTTTCCCTACAAATATGGTAATCCTTCATTATGATTTTTTTTTTTTTTTTTTGAGACAGGTTATCTCTGTAGTTCAGACTGGCCTTGAACTCACCATGTAGCCTACAGTGGCCTCAAACTTGTGGCAGTCCTCTTTCCTCAGCCTTCTGAGTGCTGGGATTACAGGCATGCACCACCACGCCCAGCTCACCGTGAAATTTTTGCAAGAAAGTCATGTTAGTTTGAAATTTCAACATCGGAGTGAATTACCTGTGGAAAACTCTTCTTATTGTTAGGACGTAAAGAACTGCACCTTCTTTGTAGACTCACCTCTAATCACAAAAGCAGAACATGAGCTTTAGTTAGACGTAAGTGGAATTCTAGTGTTGTTTTGTGACTTTGGCAAATGATTTACTTTTTCATGCCTAAGTTTCTTCATGTGTAAAATGGGGATAATTGCCTATTTCTGAGATTGTTGGATTAAATTAATAAATATGAAGTGCATAACATGGTACTTTATACATAATTCTGCTCAGTCACTTCTGTGAGGATAGTGTGGAACATTTTTTGAAACTTTCAAAAAATGAAATGATGTTAACTTGAAGAAATCCTTCCAAGTGTTTTATATGTCAGTATACTTTTTGCTAACTTAAAGTTACAGTTCTTAACATGGATTTGTTGAACTGCAAAGCTTCTATCTGTCAGGGGCTGAGGTTTCTTAGTATTTTTCCCCATTTCACCTTAAAAATTTCTCAAACAGAGATTGAAAGAATTAAGTGAATAGCTATGTATTTAACACCTAGATTATACGGACAATATTTTTTTGTTTTGTTTTGTTTTTTTCTGGTACCAGGAATCGAACTCATGACCTTGCGCTTGCCAGACAGGCGCTGTGCCACTGAGCTAAATCCCCAGCCCCTATACAGTTAATATTTGCTATGCATTTTACTACGTATCTGTTGCTGTCTCCATGAGTTCCTCTCTTGTTTTATCTCAAATTAAGTTCCATTTGTCAGCATACTTTAAATATTTTAGCATGTGTATTATTGCTTAGTATCCCAATATTTTTGGAGGGCTGAAGGGTAAAATTATGTACAGTGAAATGCAGGTGTATCTTTTGTAAAATTGCATAGTTTTTCTTTTTTCCTTTCCATTTTCTTTCCTTTGTTTTTTTTGAGACAGTGTCTAGTTGTGTAGTTCAGGCTGGCTATGTAGCCCAGGCCTTGAACTTGTGGCAGTCCTCCTGCGTCAGCCTCCTAAGTGCTGGATTTACAGTTGTGTGCCACCACACCCAGCAAAATTACATAGTTTTCTTTTTTTTTTTTTTTTTTTTTTTTTGGTTTTTTGTTTGTTTGTCTTTTTTTTGTTTTTTTTTTTTTTTTTTTTTTTTTTTAGGGTAATTCAGGCTGGCTTTGAACTCACTGTGTAGCCCAGGCTGTCCTCAAACTCATGGTGACCTTCTGCCTCCTCAGCTTCCCAAGTGCTGGGATTACAGGTGTAGTCACCACAGCCAACAAAATTGCATTGTTTTTAAAGGAAGCCTATGAAGTAGTCTCAATATTTTTGAGAGAGTATTTCCATTAAGGCATTTTGAAGACTTTTTAACTGTTAGGGGGTGTAGAAATAGAGAAGGCTAAACCAGTAGAGCAAATATCAGTTAAAAACTGGCAGAAATTCCTTTGGATTCTTAGAGAAAATAGCAAACCTGAAGTTCTCTTAGGTGGATTGAGGAACCAATACGCTCTAATTGAAACTAGTGCAGCAGTAGCAAAAATAAATCTAGAAAGAGCTGGGTGTGGTGACACACATCTGTGATTCCCACACTCTGGAGGCTGAGGCAGGCAGATCACTGTGAGCTGGAGACCATCCTGGGCTACATAAACAAGTTCAAGGCAAGCCTGCACTACATAGTGAGAGCCTGTCTCAAAAAAACAAACAACAACAAAAAAAAATCTAGAGAGAATTGGAGACATAATGAGATGGTAGAAGATACAAATATGGATGTTACATAATATTCCCAGAGCTGTGTGGATGTTGGCTGGAAATGCTTTGGCACAAAAGCAGTGTTGCCAGGTGTGGCACATGCCTATAATCCCAGCACTTGGGAGGCTGAGGCAGGAGGATCGTTGTGAGTTCGAGACCAGCCTGGGCTACAAAGTGAGGCCAGCCTGAACTGCATAGCATGATCCTGTCTCAAAAAGACAAAAAAGAAAAGCAGTGTCTATGTATACCGAATTATCAATGATTAATGGTACCGATTTCATTCCAAATGTGTGGTACCTTAAAATTCAGGGGAAAAGTGCATGTATTTTAACAGACATATTACTTATTGGTGCCTGTATTTATGTATTTCTTATCTCCTTCCCCCCTTTTTAGAGTGGACCTAAAAGTCAACAATAGCATTTGTATTGTTAGAAATATCACAAGTAGATGACCACTCAGATGTTCTATTTACAGTAAGCTGTTTAAACATCAAGGGTTTGTAGCAGAGTTCCTTAGGAAGATTGGGTCATGCTGAAAGACGAAAGAAACAGTAGTTGGTAGTACATGGTAGCTAGCATTACTTAGTGTTTAGGATTTTGGGCATTTACTCTGGGACAGAGATGTTTCATTTTAGCTATAAGTTACACAGAGAATAGTTTCAACCAATTATTTCTAAGAGATGTATTAGTTTTCTTAAGGATGAGTATTTGGTAAATCTACAAGTACTTTCAATATCTTACATCATGATGTTCATGTATACGTTGTTTTTCATAGCGTTAATTGCAATAATAATTTTATATGTCTAATTTTTGGAGTAAACTTCCTAAAAACGGTATAGGTGAAAGAAAACTATGACCACCACATGAATGTTTCTCTTACATATATATGCTTTTTTTGTTTGTTTGTGTGGGTGGATGGTGGTTTTTTATTTTGATGCAGAGTCTTGGTGTGTAGTTTAGGTTGTCCTTGACCTCGCTAGCCAGACTGGCTTTGAACTACTAGAGATCCTCCTGCCTCTGCCTCAGCCTTCCACGTGCTGGAATTACAGGCATGTGCCACTAGACCTGGCTTTTGTTCTGTTTGTTTTGAAATATTTTGATTCATGTCAGTTTTATCAGTGATCAAAGTAAAGAGAGATAGTGATAAACTGGAATAAGAACAATTTGTTTTATAGTAATGGGCAAATTATGTCTTGTACAGTCATCTTTTTTTCAGTCACATTTTTGGGATTGTTTTGTTTGTTTTTTGGTTTTACTTCATTTGGGGCTTAAGGAGGTTAAGCTTTCATAAAATGTAAAAGGAATTAAAAAGATGGGGTTTTAGGTTAAAATAATCCGTCCCATAGATTTCCAGATTTTATTTACTAGTCCTTATGAAGAAAACTAGGTACATACAATAGTATCTTGCTTTTGAGTGCCTAAAAAGTTGACTGAAAGTCATTTCATATTAAAAGGATCAGGAGCTCTTATATTTTGAAAACTTCTAATAAATTATTACCATTATTTTTATTTTATTTTTTTGAGACAAGGTCTCACTATGTAGTTCAGGCTAGCTTTGAACTTACTGTGTAGCCCAGGCTGGCCTTGAACTCACAGAGATCCTCCTGCCTCAGCCTCCTGAGTGCAGAGACTACAGGTGTGCGCCACCATGCCCAGCTAACATTTTCTTATTTACATTCTTTTTTAAAATTACATTCTTGTTTTTTGTTTTTTTTTTCTGGTACCAGGAATCGAACTCACAACCTCACACTTGCCAGCCAGGCGCTGTGCCGCTGAGCTAAATCCCCAGCCCCTAAACTTACATTCTTATAGATGTTAACGTTTATATACTGGGGTTTGTCTACCATGGCACAACTTTTTTTATTTCTTTTTGTCTTTCTGGGACAGGGTCTTACCATGCAGTTCAGGCTGGCCTTGAGATCACTTTGTAGCCCAGGCTGGTCTTGAACTCACAATGATCCTCCTATCTCAGTCTCCCGAGTTCTGGTATTATAGGCATGCGCCACCACACCTGGCCTGGCACAACTTTTTGTAGGCTAAGGCTACAAAAAACATTTTCTTGGGGCTGAGGATTTAGCTCAGCCTGGCAAGCGCAAAGTCATGAGTTCGATTCCCTGTACCAGAAAAAAAAACAAAAAACATTTTCCTAGGATCTGCCTATTAAATAGCTCACTATTTAAAGTTAGGGCATGTTAGTTACCTTTAACTTCCTGACTGATGACTCACCTTTACTATAGAGTATGTCTTTTGTTATCCTCATTTCACTGTATCAAAGGTTAAAACCAGAACTTGGAAGTAAGGATTGTGAATGTGGCTATTTCTTTTCCAACATTGGAAAGAATATTGATTTACTGTCTTTCAAGTTAATAAGTAGTAGATAATTTTTAATGTTATATGATTCAGGTGTGTTTTCATGTAAGATTTAGTTTTTTCTAATCTGTATTTATTGAATTTTATTTTTTGGATAGTTTTAGATTTATAGAAAAATTACAAAAATAGTAGTGAGAGTTCTAATATATCCTTGCACCTAGTTTCCCTTATGGTAAACACATTATGTAAGTATGGTACATTGGTTTTACACACATACACACACACACACACACACACACACACACACACTCAGTCTCTCTGATTTACCCAAGGGTAAAAGGCATGCTAAGCAAGCACTCTGCCACGAAGTTATATCTCCAGTTCTTTAAATTTTTATTTTGAGACAGGGTCTTGCTAAGTTGTCCAGGTTGGTCTTGAACTTGGGATCCTCCTGCCTTAGCCTCCTGAGTACCTGCTATTACATGCATATAGGACCAGGTATTTGTTAGGAATAATAACTGATACTGATATCTAATTATTAAATGAAGTCTAATAATTTATTCAGATTAGCCTTTACCCTAATATCTTTTCTGTTCAATAATCCAGGCCTCCTTAGGCCTCCTTTGGTTGTTTTGTTTAGTTTTGATACTGGAGATTGAACCCAGGGTCTTCTCTCTGAGCTACCCCCAAACCCTTTTATTTTATTTCTTATTTTTATTTTACTTTTTTGAGACAGGGTCTTGCTATGTAGTTACGGCTGGCCTTAAACTCACTATGTACCCCAGGCTGGCCTGGAATCACAGCAGTCCTGCCTCAGAGCTGGAATTACAGGTGTGGGCCTCTACTCCTGGCTTTATTTTTTGAGACAGGATCTCCTAAGTCATTTAAGTTGCCCAGGCTTGGCTCAAACTTGTGGATCCTCCTGCCTTGCACTCTCAGAGTGCCAGCTGGGATTACAGGCATGCTCCACCATGCCCAGCTAATCTATTTTTGGATTGATAAATTACTCAAAATGGGTTTAAAATTACACTATTTTATAAGTTGTTAGCTGATCTGTTTTATTCTATGTGTTGTAGTAGCCTATCCATTTTAAACTCTCTATTCTTCCAGTAGGAAATCCATGAAGTCCAGAAGTAGAAGTCCTGCATATTCAAGACATTCATCTTCCCATAGTAAAAAGAAGAGATCCGGGTCACGAAGTCGTCATTCCAGTATCTCACCTGTCAGGCTTCCACTGAATTCCAGCCTGGGAGCTGAACTCAGTAGAAAAAAGAAGGAAAGAGCTGCTGCAGCAGCAGCAGCAAAAATGGATGGAAAGGAGTCCAAGGGTTCACCTGTATTTTTGCCTAAAAAAGAGAATAGTTCAGTGGAGGCTAAGGATTCAGGCTTAGAGTCTAAAAAGTTACTCAAAAGTATAAAATTGGAAAAATGTGGCCCAGATACTGAACTGCTAAATGTAACACATTCAAACATAGAGGTCAAAAATTCTTTAGATACAGGGAAAGTAAAGTTGGATGAGAACTCTGAGAAGCATCCTGTTATGAAAGATTTGAAAGTACAGGGAACAAAAGACTCTAAACCCACAACACTGAAAGAGGAGACTATTACTCCAAAGGAGCCAGAGATACCAGAAAAGGAGACCCCTCCACCTCTCCCCACAGTTACCTCTCCGCCTCCTTTACCAACTACCACCCCTCCCCCTCAGACACCCCCATTACCACCTTTGCCTCCACTACCAGCTGTTCCACAGCAACCACCTCTGCCTCCTTCTCAACCAACATTTAGTCAGGTTCCTGCTCCCAGTACTTCAACTTTGCCCTCTTCTACTCACCCAAGGACATCTACTCTATCCTCTCAGGCAAATTCTCAGCCCCCTGTACAGATTTCTGTGAAGACTCAAGTTTCTGTAACAGCTGCTATTCCACATCTGAAAACTTCAACATTGCCTCCTCTGCCTCTGCCACCCTTGTTACCTGGAGACGATGACATAGATAGGTGAGTCTCATAGTTAAATGGAAAAAACCCTCTCAATCTAAGTGTATTTTCTGTTTTAAGCTTTGTTAAACTACCCTACTGCATGACTATTCAGAATGCTTTTATGAGTAGGAAGTGCTTTTGATACTGATGTTTACTTTTCAGTGAAAAAGTCCATTTTCATGATATTATTACTTGGGAAGAAAGAATTAGAATTTGAGGCCTAGAAAACCCATCTTATCATAAGTTTATTTATTTATTTATTTTTTTGTTTTGTTTTGTTTTTGGTTTTTCTCTGGTACCGGGAACTGAACTCACGACCTTGCGCTTGCCAGGCAGGCGCTTTTGCCACTGAGCTAAATCCCCAGCCCCCAAGTTTATTTATTGATAAAGCTAGTTTTAATTATTTTAACAATGTTTTCTCCTCATTTATTTCTCCCCATTTATTTATTTGTTCATTTGTTTTGAGACAGGGTCTTGCTATATAGTTCAAACAGGCCTCGAACTTGAACTTGTAACTGTCTTCATGCCTCACTCAGCCTGCCAACTGCTGGGATTACAGGCATGATTCACCATGCTTGGCTGTTCTGTATTTTGAAAAATTTAATGTTATAAATTAAAATTCAACATAAAAAAGTTAATAGAACAGTTAATTAACATTCCTGTATAATGTACTTCATTAGGTTCACTAGCTATTAACTTTGGTGAGGGAGGGAAGATTGGGATAGGATCTCCCTGTGTAGTCTAGGCTGGCTTTGAGTTTGAGATTCTCTTGTCTTAGCCTCCCAAGCACTGAGATTACAGGTTTACACTACCATGTCTAATGGTTAACATTTTGCCACATTTGTTTTTTTGGATTTGTTTGTTTGTTGTTTTTGTGGTCCTGGGATTTAAGTCAGAACCTTGAATGTGCTAAATGATCAACTCTACCTCTGACCTATATCCTTAGCTGTTTTATTTATTTTATTTGCAATACTGAGGGATTAAACTCAGCACCTTGCACATGCTAGGCAGGTACTCTACTACTGAGCTATATCTTCAGCCCTCCCAGCTCTTTTATTTTAAGACAGTGTCTCCTTAAATTGTCCAGGCTAGCATAGAATTCATAGTTGGCTGCCCAAGTAGCCAGAATTACAGGTGGGTACCACCATGCCTGATCCCACCTTTGTTTTCAGTGCAGAAGATATCTTGACACTTCTAATATTTTGCATGTCTTTTTTATATAATTATAATACTTTCACCATTCTGAAAAACTTAATGTTGTTTTAATAACACAGTATTAATAGTCATAGCAATAACATAACGATAATATTTAAGTAGCCACAGCAGTCTCCAAAATGTTTTCTGTTCTGTTTGAAATGAGGTCTCACTGTGTTATCTGACTGGCCTTGACACCCTCCTGCCATACCTTTCAGGTAGCTGGGATTGTAAAGAAGCACCACTATGCCTGGCTTTCCAAAATGCTGATTTTTTTTTTTGGCAGTATTGCTAATTGAACCAAGGGCCTTCACACTGAGCTACATCCCCCACCTATTTGTTTGTTTGTTTTGCTGTTTTTGTAGTGCTGGGGTTTGAACCCAGGGCCTTATACATGCAAGGCAAGAGCTCTACCACTAAGCCATATGCCCCTACCCATTTTTTTATTTTTTATTTTGAGGCAAAATGAAAATTAGTAAATTACTAGGTTGGGCTTGAAATTACAATCCTGCCTCAGTCTCCCAGGATACTGGATTATAGGCATACACCAGCATGCCTGGCTCTAGAGTGTCTTTGGTTTTTTTTTTTTTTTTTTTGTCTTTTTGAGACAAGGTCTCACTATGCAGTTCAGGCTGGCCTTGAGCTCACTTTGTAGCCCAGGCTGGCCTCGAACTTGTAACGATCCTCTGCCTCAGCCTCCCGAGTGCTGGGATTACAGGCGTGCGCCACCACGTCCAGCCTCAGAGTGTTTTTTATAGCTGGGTTCTTTGGCTGTTGTTTCAGATCCAGCATTCAAACTAGATTTGGAAAAGGGTTGCTTTTAAAAAATTTTTAATTATCCAATAGAAAAAAAGAACAATGTGTTTTAATTATCCTATAAAAAGAAAAGGAACAATATGTAGAATATTTGATAGTGAGAATATAATTCACAATTGGAAGGTTAGAAAAGCTTTAATTTTAATGAGTCCTCTGAAAATTTTGAGAACTGATGATGAAGGATGAATCTGATTTTATCGAAGACAAGAATGAGAAAGTATTTAATTTAATGGCAGGCCTAGATAGGCAAGACCACCAAACATGCGCTAGCAATCACATAAATCACGGCAGTGTTTGTGTTGAGTTTGAGCCCTTCTGTTTTGTGGAAGATGAGTTGCATTTACTGCAACAAACTTTTCCTTAGAAGCATGAGCCAACCGGGCATGGTGGCACACCCCTGTAATCCCAGCATTTAGGAGACTGAGGCAGGAGGATTGCTGTCCTGAACTGCATAACAAGACCCTGTCTCAACAAACAAAGCATGAACCAGCTCCTAAGACTGGTACTTTGTGGGTGACATCAGTAATTTGAATGATGGTTCATTTTAACCCTGAGGTCTGTGTTACTGTAAAAGGTAGATGTAGGGAAAGAGATGTATTTCCTTGTGGTGCTGGGATTGAACACAGGACATGGTATGTGCCAGGCAAACTCTTTATTGTTGAGCTACACCCCTACCCCCACCTTTTTTTGTTTAAGTACGGAAGATGGAACTCAAGGATGCCATACAACTAAGCTATATCTCCAGCTTTTATTATTTGTTTTGAGCTAGGGTAATGCTAAGTTGCACTGGCTGGCCTTAAATGTGTGATCCTCCTGCCTCAGCTTCCAGAGTAGCTAGAATTTTAGAAATACAACATCACATCCAGCTGTAGAATCCTTTAAAAGAATGGCTTGAGCTGGGCGTGGTGGTGCATGCCTGTAATTGCAGCATTCAGGAGGCTGAGGCAGGAGGATTGTTGCGAGTTCGAGGCCAGCCTGGGCTACAAAGTGAGCTCAAGGCCAGCCTGAACTACATAGTGAGACCCTGCCTCAAAAAGACAAAAAAAAAAGATTCCTGTACAGAAAACCAAAACTGTCCTTGGAACAAATTTCTTCTACACTATACTGTCAAAAAAGTAAGATTGTCTTGGGGCTGGGGATTTAGCTCAGTGGCACAGTGCCTGCCTAGCAAGCGCAAGGTCGTGAGTTCGATTCCCAGTACCGGAAAACAAACAAAAAGCAAGAACAACAAAAAATAAGACTGCCTAGCTGGGTGTGGTGGTGCATGCCTGTAATCCCAGCACTTGGGAGGCTGAGGCAGGAGGATTGTTGTGAGTTCAAGGCCATCCTGGGCTATCAAAAGAGCTCAAGGCCAGCTTGAACTGCATAGCGAGACCCTGTCTCAAAAAGACCAAAAAAAAAAAAGAATGGCTTGAGATTTGGGGAGGTAGGTAGCTCAATGGTAGAACATCTGCCTAGCATGTATAAGCTTCCATTCCCACCAGAAAAGAAAGGAAGGGAGGACGGCAGGCAGGTAGGCAGGCAGGCAGGCAAGGAGACAGGCCAGCCGGCCAACCATAGTGGCCAATCTCATCTTTAAAAAAAGTTCCAAATACAGTACTCCAGTAATAATAAGTACTTATGAATTCTGCTACTTTCTAAGAACTATAAAAAAGAGGAAAAGGACTTTATATATAGAAAAATGTAGTTAGGGTTTACAGTGTACTTTTCTGCTTTACTAGGGACTAAACCCAGGGTTTCACATTGATGCTGAGGCAGGAGGATCACAGTTGGTTTTTTGTTTGTTTGTTTTGTTTTGTTTTTCCTTTTTGAAACAGGGTTTCACTCTGCAGCTCAGGCTGGCCTTGAACTCACTTTGTAGCCCAGGCGGGCCTCAAACTTGCACTGATCCTCTTCCCTCAGCCTCCCGAGTGTTGGGATTACAGGTGTGCACCACCACGCCTGGCGAGGATCACAGTTTGAGGCCAGTCTGGACTACATAGTGAATTCAAGGGCAGCCTTGGGAGGCTGAACTACATAACAGGACCCTATCTCCAAAAAGAAAAGATAGGATCTTTCTGAGGTAGCCAAGCTAGACTGGAACTTGCAATCCTATCTCAGCATCCCAGAATGCTGGAATTGCAGATTCATGCCTGGCTCACTTTTATGTAGTTTTGTTGGAAAAGAAGATAAAAGAGACCCTAGCCCATTATGTGCTTACAGAACCTCATTTCGGTTTCCATTGTGACTAGAGTGTCAGTGTGACTAAGAATCTTAATTCTGAAATATTTACTTGGTTAACCAAGTCTGCATGTAACTATTGAACATAACATGTTTCAGAGTAGAGTGCAGATTGCTTTTGTGTATATATGATACTGGGGATTAAACAATGCAGGGCTTCTCATGAGCTACATTCCCAGACCTTTTTATTTTGGGACAGTCTCCTTGAATTGCCTATGCTGAGTTTAAACTTATCATCCTCCTGCCTCACCTTCCCAGAGTATTAGGATTACAGGTGTGCACCATCATGCCCAGTTCAGAGTGTGGCTATCTGTAGATGGAATGATTTTGGTGCTGAAAGCATTCTGTCTTCCAGAATGGAGAGGGGCTACACTGAGACCATTCAGTGTATATATGCGAGGGCTGTCTTTTAAGAGTGTATGAGCCATAGGTGGTAGTGCACACCTGTAATCTGAGCTCCCTGGGAGGCTGAGGTATGAGGTTCATAAATTGAAGCTCACCTTGGACAAGGTAACAAAATCCTGTCTCAACATTTTTAAAACAATTTAAGATGGGATGGAGGATATAGATCAGAGCCAGGGCCTGGGTTAAATCCCCAGTACTATAAAAAAAATTTCTTAAAAAAAGTTCATGCAAGCTGGGTGTGGTAGTGCACACCTGTAATCTCAGCACTCTGGAGACTGAGGCAGGAGGATTGTTGCAAGTTCGAGGCCAGCCTGGGCTTATTACAAAGTGAGCTCAGGGCCAGCCTGAACTGCATAGAGAGACCCTGTCTCAAAAAGATCCCT